CTCTGTCCCAAAAATAAATAAACGTTGAAAAAAAAAATTAAAAAAAAAAAAAAAGAAAACATACGTACGTAATGCTAACATATGTTCATGTATAATGTTAATTTTATATATGCATGAAAGTTACAGAAGCAGTGCTCTTGTCGCAGCCTCTTGTGGTGGGGTCGCTTTCTGTGACCAGCTTGGATTATCCTGGAACAAAGATCTGGAGAACAGGAGCACCTCAAGTCTGAGAGCCTGGTGAGGATCCTGCCCATCCCCAGGAGGCCTGGCCATGGGACAAGGCCCGGTGGCCAACACCAACACCATTTTGGGAAAGCTCCCCTTCCCCAGCTCCATGCTCCTGACCCCTCAGGCCGACCCCTCAGGGGCCACTTCTTCCCTCGTGTCCACATCCCGTCCTGCCTACTCAAGTCCACTCATTGTCCCGCATCACCAACTCCCACCCCTCCTGGAGTGTCCTCACCAAAATACAAACATGCTGTCATTTCTCCCATTTGGTTCTACCCTTGATCCTGTATCTCAATTCAGCCACTCCTCAAGTCTCTGCTCTCTCCAAAGTGCAAGTCCTCAGAAGATTAGGGTTTCTCTCTCCACCGCCTCCCATCTTTTTTCCAAATCCTCTGTATTTGTATTCTTTCTGCCTGTTTTCTGTCAATATCTCCGAGAGGAGTGAACATCTCCAATTATTATTGTGAGTTTGTTGATTTCTTTTAGTTCTGTTAGCTTTTGCTTCGCGTATCGAGGCTATATTATTAACGCTATCAATGGCGCACAGTTAGGATTATTATGTCTACTTCCTGAGTTGACTCTTTTCCGTTATGCAATGACCCTCTTTATCTCTGGGAATAATCTTTGTCCCAAACCCTTCTTTGTCAGATATGAACATAACCCAACTTTTCTTCCTTCCTTTCGGTGTCCATGTATTTAATGAAGAGCATATGGTTGGTTTTTTGTTCTTGTATCCAAACGGATGCCCTCTGTTTTTCACTTTGAGTATTTTGTCTGTTTACATTTAATGTAATTACTGATGTGGTTGGGTTTCAGTCTGTTTTTCTACATGTCTTCTATTTGTTCCATTTTCTCTCTGTTCCTTTCCTTTTCCTTTTCCTTTATTTATTTATTTATTTTATTTATTTTTTATTTATTTTATTTATTTTTATTTATTTATTTTGAGAGAGAAAGAGAGCATGAGAGGGGAGGGGCAGAGAGAGAAAGAGAGAGAGAATCCCAAGCAGGCTCTGCATTGTCAGCACAGAGCCCTACACGGGGCTCAAACTCACAAACCATGAGATCACTATCTGAGCCAAAACCAAGAGTTGGATCCAACTGAGCCACCCAGATGCCCCTTCCCTTTCCTTTCTTAATTTGGTTGGAGTACACTTTAGAATTACATTTTATCTTCTCTCAACTTAAAAAAAAAAAAAAAGACTTTATCTTTTAGAGTAGTTTTAGATTCACAGCAAACGTGAGTAAAAAGTACAGAGTTCCTATATACCTTCTGCTCCCAAGCACCTCCCTCACTATCAACATCCCACACCAGAGTGGTACATTTGTTATAATTGATGAACCCATATTTACACATCATTATCTTCATGGCTTTTTTTAAAATGTTATTTATTTTTGAGACAGAGAAAGAGCATGAATGGGGGAGGGTCAGAGAGAGGGAGACACAGAATCTGAAGCAGGCTCCAGGCTCCAGGCTCCAAGCTGTCAGCACAGAGCCCGACGTGGGGCTCGAACTCACAGACCGTGAGATCGTGACCTGAGCTGAAGTCGGATGATTAACCGACTGAGCCACCCAGGCCCCCCTATCTTCATGGCTTTTAAACTACCTCCTCTTTTTTTTTTTTTTTTTTCATGTTGCTTTAGATTAAAATATTCATCCTTAACTTACCACCAACCACCTTAAAATAATATCACTTCTCATATTATGAAAAACTTTGAACAGCATAATTGCATTTATACCTTTCCTTCTCTTTTTTGCTACCGTTGTCATATATTTTACTAGTACACTTGTTATAAACATCATTGTACATAGTTCATATTTTTAACTAGTCAATAGTCTTTTAAATAAATTTTTGTAAACACCTACCGTATTTACCATTTCGGATGCTCTTTTGTTTCTTCTTGCAGATCTAGGATTCTGAGATCATTCCTTTTTAGCTGAAAGTATCCTCTGTATTTGTTGTAGTGACGTTCTGCTGACAACAAAGTATCTGTTTTCGTTTTCCTGCAAATATCTTTATTTTACCTTGAGTTTTGAAGATTATTTTCATTGGATAGAGTTCTAGGCTGATAGTTTTCTTTCAGCACTTAAAGATGTCATTCTAGGGGCGCCTGGGTGGCTCAGTCAGTTAAGCATCCGACTTCAGCTCAGGGCATGATCTCGCGGTCTGTGGGTTCGAACCCTGTGTCAGGCTCGGTGCTGACGACTCGGAGCCTGGAGCCTGCTTCGGATTCTGTGTCTCCCTCTCTCTCTCTCTCTGCCCCTCCCCCCACTCACACTGTCTCTGTCTCTCTCAAAAATAAATAAATAAAAGAAACCCTTAAAAAAAAGTAAAGATGTCATTCGTTTAGTTTTTGGCTTCCAATGTTTCTGATGAGAAGTCGGCCATTATTCTTATTGTTGTTCTCTTGAATGTGATGTGTCCTTTTTTTCTTTAGCTGATTCTTAAGAATGTTCTCTTGATCATTGGACGTTAGTAGTTTGATATGATGATCTAGATGTGACGCTTTTTAAAAATGTATCCTCCTTGGGATGTACTGAGTATCTTGAATCTGTGGGCTGATATCCATCAGTCATTTTGGAAAATGTTTGACCGTTATCTCTTGAAATATTTTCTCTGTCCCATTTTCTTTCTCTTTTCATTTTGGAACTACAAATACAAGAACATCAGCCCATTTAATATTGTCGCACAGTTCTTGGATGCTCTGTTCTGTCTTATTTTATTATTCCTTTTTCTTCTCTGTGCTTCAGTTTGGATGATTTCTGTTGACCTGCCTTTGAGTTCACAAAGCCATTCTTCTGCTATGTCTAGTATGCTATTAAGTGCTTCCAAAGAATTATTCATTTCATCTACTACATTTTTCAGTTCAAGTATTTCCGTTTAAAAGATTTCATTTCTTTGCTGCATTTCCCCATTTGTGAAAATGTTTTGATCACTTTTTCCATTAAATCCTTCAGTACATTTATATATTTTAGTCTCTGTCTGCCAGTTTCAGCATCAGGATTATATTGAGTTTGAGGCTATTGATTATTCTTTTGACTATGGGTCACATTTCCTGCTTCTTTACATGTCTAGTAATTTTTTATTGTATGCTAGACATTTTGGATGTTATGTTGTGGAGACTATGGTATCATCCTCTGAAGAGTGGTTTTTTTTTTCTGGTAGGCAGTTAAATAACTGGAGGACTGTCTTGATCTTAGTGAGAACTGATTTTAGACTTTGTTAATGTGTCTATTTCAGTTTTACCCATAGTCCTAGGGTGAAGCCCTTACCTGCATGGTGTAGCCCTTCCAAGCTGTAAACTTCCTACGTTCTCAGTGGAATTCTCAGAGTATTCCTGAGATCTTGCCTCTCTGGACCGACCACAACTCCAATATTGCTTTAGCATTAAGACCTCTGAAATTTCTGTTCAGCTTTCAGTCTCCAAGTAGATTTTCTGTTAGGCACTATGGAGTCTTGTCCTGTGTGTACATGCGTATCTTAGGATTCAGCTACAGACCTGAAGGGAATCTCTATGAAAAATGTTGGGGCTCCATCTCTGCTATTCCTTCTCTGTGGTTCCCTCTCCTTTGGTAATCGCCCTCCCAATTTAGCTGTCTTAGCAGCCCTAAACTCTGAACTCTCTTTTCTCCACCCAGTGAGACTGTAGCTCTCTGCTTGGAATCCACTTCCCTGTGCCACAGTTTGAAAATTACCCCTAGGCAGAAAGTCAAGGTGAGTGTGGAGCTCGGCCTTGTGTGCTCTCCTTCTCTTAAGGGTCATAGATTTTGGTTGCCTGTGGCTCAGTGCCTGATAAATGTTGTTTCATATATTTTGTCCATTTCTACTGTTATTTATGGCAGGCAGATAAGTCTAATACAGCTACTCTGCTGTGGATAGAACCCAAATTTTTTCTTGTTCTTCTCTGAGCCCTCTCTAGTTAAGTTTTTATCCTCAAGACCCCATCTATGGGGGCACCTGGCTGGCTCAATTGGTAAAGCATGCTACTCTGAACCTCAGAGAAGTGAGTTCAAGCTTCAACTCCCATGTGGGGTGCATGTATTACTTAAAAATACAATCTTAAAAAAACAAACAAACACCCTTCCTCAAGGTTATCATTGACTCCGCTTTGCCAACTCTCATCTTCATTATGAAGGCTCATCTAACCAAAATAATCAGCAGTATCCTTCACTATTGATCACTCTCTTATTCTTGAAGCACTTTTTTTTCTCCACTTGACTTCCAGGAAACCAATTGTTTCTTGGTTTTTCTCCTGCTTCACTGACAGCTCCTGTCAGGTTTTCTTGGCTGGTTGCTCCTCGCCTTCTGGCCTCCAAATGTCGGAAAGCCTCAGGACTCACTATTAGACCTCTTCCTTTCTCCATCCACCCCATCCTTGGTTATCTAATTGAGTCCCAAGGCTTTAAATACCATCTACATACTCATAATGCTCACATTTATATCTCCAACCTAGATCTGCGCCCTGAAGTCCAGACCTGGACCCCCAACTGCCTTTTTAACATCTCCGCTTGGAAGTCTAGAAAGCATCCCAGATTTGACATGTCCACAACGGAAATCACGATTTTTTTCCTTCACAAGCCTGCCTCTTCCTTGGTTTTACCCATCTTAATAAACGATTCCATTCTTCCAGCTGTGTGGACCAATCTTTTTGGAGCCACTCTAAAACTTCCCTTTTACCCACGTCCAGTCCACCTTAGAAGTCTACCCACCTGGATTACTGTGATAGCCTCCTGAACAGCTTCCTTGTCCCTGTATCAGCCAGGGACACAGCAGGATAGAGATGACACACTTAGAGGACCTGATGGCAGGGTTATGACTTTTTTATTAGTTATGGGTGGGTCAGAGGTACCGACTAGAGACAGTGTAGCATCCTGTAATCATCCCTAGGAATGGATGAGAGTTCTAGAGACTGGAAAGGGCTACCTGATGCAAGTCATGGCCTCTGGTAAAAAAAAAAAAAAAAAAAAAAAAGTCAGCACCTGCCACACTACAGCAGAGAGAGAGCCAGGGGAATCTCTGATCGCCTGCCACTGTGTGGACCAATCTTTTTGGAGCCATTCTGAAACTCACACTGGCCGAACCTAACTGGAAGCCAGTTGGGGGTCTGTTAAAACAGTCCACGGAGATAGCCTCCCAGGAAACCGCGTAGGATGGAGACAAGGAGAGTGGGTTAAGGCAAGTGGGGAATGTCCATCAAATCCCCTCCCCTCCCCACATATACACATCCTGTGGTCCGTTCTCGGCATAGAAGCCAGAGTAATTCGTCCACTCGAGCAGACCAGAGAGCACTGCAGAGCCACAGGATGGATGGAGCCTGGGTCTGTGAATCGCTTAGGGCAATGCTTGGTGTATTGTTAAGTTCTCAAGCAATGGCACCAATTGTTGTTATTTAATATTTGTAATGAATACATAATCATGCTAGTAATCACTTTTTCCCAAATGCCTTGTTATAGACTTTAGGGGGTTCTTCTAGAGAATAGATGGACTATCTATGGAAGATAGAAAGGTATGTGTGTGTGTGTGTGTGTGTGTGTGTGTCTGGTCCACTTGGCCTCCAGGCCTCCAGAGAACCTAGTATAAAAGAGAGCTTGTTCCACCCCTCTGACAAGCAAAGCACCCCCACTGGGACCCCACCGTGCCTGGTAGCCAGATTCCGAAGATGGCCCCAAAGGACCGTGCCTCCCAACATCCACTCTCTTGGGTAGGCCCCTCCCACACTGTACCTGGGCTGACCCATGACTTGGTTTAGAAAGGGCAGAAGTGGGGCACCTGGGTGGCTCAGTTGGTTGAGCTTCCACCTTCGGCTCAGGTCATGATCTCACGGTTTGCGGGTTCAAGCCCCGCGTCAGGCTCTGTGCCGACAGCTCAGGGCATGGACCCTGCTTTAGATTCTGTGTCTCCCTCTCTCTGCCCCTCCCCCACTCGCTCTCTGTCTCTCTCTCTCTCAAAAATAAACATTAAAAAAATAAAAAATAAAAAGTAAGGGACGCCTGGGTGGCTTAGACAGTTAAGTGTCCGACATTGGCTCAGGTCATGATCTCACGGTTCATGGGTTCAAACCCCGCGTCGGGCTCTGTGCTGACAGCTCAGAGCCTGGAGCCTGCTTCAGATTCTATGTCTCCCTCTCTCTCTGCCCCTCCCCTGCGCACGCACAGTCTTTAAAAAAAAAAAAAAAAAGGCAGAAGTTATCCTGTGCCTGTTCTAGGCCAATGCCTTAAGAAACCCTAACACCTCCATTCTCTACATTTTGGGAGCCCTAAGGCGTGATAAGTAGTCTGGCTGCCCTGGAGAAGAGACCCCGTGGAGATGGAAGGAAAGGCCCAATCACCCAGCAAAGCAGGTGGGCCCAGCTTTCCAGGGGTCCCTGCTACAGGCAGCCGGTACATGCAGCATGAGCTACGGGGAAGCTCTCCCAGCCCGGAGGAGCCCCAGATGACAGCCACTCCAGGCCACATCACATGGAGCAGAAAAGTCACCTAGTGGAGCCCAGTCAACCCTTAGATCCAAGAGAGATTAGGGAAGAAAAAAAATGGTGGTTGTTCTAAGCCACTGAGTTTTGGGGATTTGTCACATGGCGGCAGGTAACCAGACAGGGTCCCAGCTGGCCCGTGTGAGGAGCATTTGCTGCCTTGAATTGTCGGCACCGCCCCCACTGCACCCCCACCCCCAGCCCCGCCACCGCTCTCACTGCAGGGAAAACCAAAAACCAGGGGTGATGTTGCAACCACAAGCTTGCGGGCCGGGTGGAACTCTGGGCTCCCTTCGGTCGGGGGAGAGTCTGGATCCTGCCCCCTCGGCCACCGGGAGGCTGAGCTCACTCGGCTGGCCTCCATTCCTCTTCTTGATTGGCACTTTAATGAGGGCAGAAGGGGCTGACCCCCTGCCAGGGGGCCAGTTCATGCCCCGTTTATCTCACAGCTCCAGGCAGACTAGAACAACACTGCAGGCGAGCAGCCGGCCCGGAGCCCCCGCCCTCGGTGATGGATGGAGTGACCGCGACGAGCTGGCAGCTGAATTGTGCGGTGGCCGCACTGTCCTCTCAGCGAGCAACAAAGGGGCCGGCCTGCCCCTCCTGCTCGCCAAGCTGCTCTCCCCCCGGGGGCAGAAGTGACAGCAGCTCCCTCTGAGGGGAGGTCGCTCCGACCGCCCTCCCCCAATGCCAATGCCAAGTTTCAAAATACAGGCCTGCGGATGGAGCCCCATAGGCTGCAGAAACCACTCGGGGCGGGGGTGGGGGTGGTGCCGAGAGATTGGGGAATTCTGGGCTTGCAGGAAGAGCTGGCACAGAAAACTTCCTCTCCTAGCTTTGGGGTCCAAGACTGGGCGGGGTTCTCAGCAAACACCCCTCCTGACTGTGCCAGGCCGTTTACTTGCTGTGCAACCTTGAGTGAGTTTCACAACCTCTCTGAACCCGAGAGCCCTCATCTGTAAGAACTACTACCTTGTATCTCCATCACCGGGCTCCCGTGCAGATCAAATGAGGCCTCCTAGAACACACTAGAACGCAGGTCCTACAAGTGAGGCCTCAGTTTACCTGGCTGTCTCCCACGTCTCCGTTTTACACATGGGGAGACAGGCTCAGAGAGGAAAATCTACCCAGGGCCCCACGGAGAGTACAGGCGGATCAGGGATTCCAACCCAGTGTTCGCTGGCTCTCAACTCTAGGCAGACGTTCCCAAAGCCCCGACTCTTGGGCTGGAATTTCCCGGTAAGGATGGGTGGGAAGCCAATGACATAGCTCCTGGGCGCTTGCAGAGGGAAAGAGCCAAAGCGTCTATTGGAAATCTGCAAACCACGCAGTGCTCAAGGTGGTGCACACTCTCATTGTCCTGGTCCCACGGAGGGAACTTGGGCTCTGAGCCGTCCCCTGGACCTTGAGGGAAGCAGGGGCCAGCAAGGGGAATGCAACCCGTCCTGTCTGGGGGAGTCACAGAGGTCTGGCGCAGCCCCAAGGTCCCTAGGTCCTGGGTCCTCCCACCGGTACCCAAGCCTGTGCCCCGGGACAGGACAGTCACGGAGCCCCCAGCGCCGGGAAGAGGAGAGGGCACAGCTGGACAATTGGCTCTTTGGGTCCCAGGGAGCCCTGGAAGGGGAGGAAGGGGCCTTCCTGGGCCTTCCCGGGCCTCCCTGGAGGGGAAAGACCCAGCCTCCACTTGGAGGAGACTTCACCTCCCCGTGAACTCCCGGAGGCAGAAGGCCAGGCTCCAGCTGAGGTCAGAGAAAGTAGCAGGGCGCCAGTGGGGCTCTACATGGCCTTCCTCACTCCCCTCACACCTCTCCCGCCGCCAGACAAGGCAGATGGGAGCCTGGGGGTGGGCCAAACCAGGAGAGGGTCCCCCGAAACACTGACCTGGTAGACTAGGAGGGACCCAGCCTCTCAGCCCAGAATTCTGGTGCCGGACCTCGGATCTAGCCGCGTGGACGTTTAAAATTATCCCTTCCCACCCCAAGGGTTTCGCATGAGCTACTCCCCTTGTCTCAAAGAGACTTTTCCCACTGTACCTGGTCAACTCCCGGCCAGTCTTCAGAAGTCACCTGAAATGTCACCTCCTCCTGGAAGCCTTCTCTAACTGACACCCCTCGCTCCCCTGGACCCTCAATCGGAAAAAGTCACATCCCTGTGTTACAGCCCCCTAGCTCCGTGAGCCCTTCCTTCGTAGTTCATCCATGTTAAATGTCATCCTCCATTTATTTGTGTGGCTATTTGGCTAATGAAGATGAGCCCATGAAGTCAGGGGTCATCTCTGCTCACATGGATGTCCCCAGTCTCTAGCAGACAGCCTGGGACACAGTAGATGCTCATTAAATATTCACTGACTAGATGCCGTTAGCCAGTGTGGGTCTCCCAGTAAACTGTGGATTCCACTGGGGCGGGGATGTATCTTTTTTGTTTACCCCCCCCCCCCCCCACTCAGAGTCTTGCACATAGAAGGCTGCAAATCTGCTGCAAAAAAGAGAGAACAACCACCAACACAAAATCAAGAAGACTAACCTCGTTTGAAGCAAAAGTCACCCAGAACGGGCAGACTCTGAGTCCTTCGTTTCAGAAGAATTATTCCACATGCTTCGATGAGCCAAGTCCCTGGAGAGCCTTGACATCAGGGAAAGCTGACTGAGCCCGAGACAAGATCAACTAAATTATTCCAACTGGTAGATCTCCAGATTCTGGCTTCTGCCTGCTTTGTCTTGGACAATTGAGGGAAAGCAGTGACTCTAATGGATCCCAAGACAGTTCTGGGGGGGAAGGAACAGATGTCAAAACCCACAAACTTTCCAATAGCCTAAATTTTGTTGAACAAAGTAAAATGTCAGGAAATATGACACCAAGGAAGAATGGCTACAATATATAAAGAGCTCATTGACATAAATAAGAAAAAAATCACGCATCCAACACATGTGAGCGAGGGATATGAAAAGATCATGTACCTACAAAGAAATTGGACTAAGGCAGTCAGCAGGCACTGAGTGTTTATCCTGCGGTAGGCACTGCCTTAAGAGTTTTCTATCTCATTTAATTATCACAGGAAGTGCAGCAAGAAAATCTAACAGATACAGAGTTGGTGACTGTGGTATGTTCCTAACTTTTTCCTATATTATCTATGAAATGCTGTAATCTTTTTGTTTGTCCC